AGCTCTTTGGTGCACCACTGAGTGTGCAGCTCACACTAGTCTGACACTGAAAGGACGGAAATTGAATCATAATTCATAAAAAGTGGCTCCTGCTGCATCCTTAGGTCAAAAATCTGCTGTGTATTCAGATTTAAACTGTGCCTGAGGTTTAGTTGCTACGTCTCGTTGAAGTAACATAAGCCACCACTAGGCGTCACTACATATTAAAGGTTCAAGTTACACCTACTGCTCCCATGACTCAGCTGAGTTCAGTTTACCATCTTAGTATCTCGCACCGCGTGTGCAGTTACAAAGTAAACTCTCATGTAAAAGTGAAACTCTCATGTAACATCGTGTATGTCATTTAAAAAGTGTCACATGGCAAAGTCATTTTTAAAATGAAGACGCAGGGTTAGTGACTGCTTGAAAACTAAACAGATGACTTCAGAGTCCATAATGCACAAGCAAATTATTTAAACAATAAAAAGTCTAATAATAATTTATACAAACGTATTCTAAACCAAATTCCTGTTTAGTTTTATGTCCGGTAATAAAATGCATTGATTATTATTATAATACTAATATGATAACTATGAAAAACAATTAGCCAGAGTAACACATGAACTAGAAAGAGAAAGGGACGTCTTCAGACGTAACACATGAACAACCGCATGAATACAGCTGGATTAATAATTTCATTGAAGGTTCAGTCTGACCTTTGAAACCTTCCCTGTTGTTTCTGAAACCACTTCCATGACAACTGAGCGACTCCACCCAGCTGGCTGAAAGCTTTGCCAGACTGATTAGTCATATCAAACTGATTTCAGCATGAATCATCTAGCGGCGTTTCCTCTTTTCCCCCCCCGAGAAGACATTCGTTGCTCTAATCCAGAAAACTATGGCATCTGTCCTTTTTCGAGTTTCTATTTAAATGTTGCTTTTGTTTTCTGTAAAGCACTTTGAATTTCCTTGTTGTTGAAACGTGCCGTGACTTCCTGCACCGTGTTGTAATTTTGTTAATCCTGCCAGAGGAATGCAGTTGATATCCATGAAAAACAAAAACTCACATTCCACATTTTCTCTTCCCGGGAAAAAAAACAGGAGGAGTTCAGAAAAAAACCGCACTATCCATTCCTGGCTTCTAACACAAGTCAATAAAAGGTCATAATACAACGCCTGTTTAAATTCCCCTGTTCTTGTACTTGCTGACGTTGGCTCAAATGTCATCCAGAGAGAATCAGTTTCATTGAGAAGCTACAAAAGCTAAACGCCCTTACCATGGAAGGAACAAACGGTGCAAGGATTCCTCCGACTCTGCACGACATGGAACAAACTCCCAAACCAGCGTTCCTGAAAAACACAAAAAATAAAATCATTCAAATAAAAAAAAATAAAAAAAGAAGCACTTAAAGCACACTTGGTTTACTTCAGGCAGTGTGAATAAATGAGTCTTAGTTCACCTGATAACTGTCGGGTAGAGTTCAGAGGTGTACACGTAGGCGATGTTGAACGCTGCACTGACCATCAGTTTTCCCAGAAGCGCCAACGACGTAACGTTCAGCAAGGCTCCTGCAAACAGAAAGAAAACACACAGTCCCATATTTACCTTACAAGTCACAAAATACGGGCCGAGCAAATTCAGGATACTAAAGCTCAAATGCTTAAATCAGTATTTATACATCTGGACCATATTTGAAAGAATTAGTTTGAAACACTAGGACAAGAGAAACGGATTTCTTGAAGCACATCTGAGGAGCGGCAGGTATCATCTTTACGTTCTGCAGCCATTTGCATTTGTGTTCATTGAGTAAATTCATATGCCAATAATAATAATAATAATAATAATAATAATAATAATAAACATCACGTTGAGCAGCAAAACCCCCATTATAATCATTCCTTATGGGTCACTGCAATATCAAAAAACTATAGCGTGAAACAAACAAACAGTTTGTTCAACGTCCTAATCTTAATCTTATCTAATCTTAATCTAACGTTGAATTAATTCCAGGTCGGCTCGTTGAGATAAGAGCGTTAGTCAAAGACCAAAAAGTAAAATGATTAGATAAAAAACCAGGGGATCATCATCTTAAAAATGTCGTCTTGTTTTTTTTGTTTTTTTTAAACGGACTCTGGTTGTGCAACGTGGTGACATCATCCTCACAGAACAGCTGTGCCGCCAGGTTTTCATTCTGCTTCCTTCACATCATTTCTGGTATGAATTACTTCAAATTAAACTCCTCAGGTCCTGCTGGGGTTTTGTGTTGTTTGCACTGACATTTAAGCCCACGCCCAGACGTACTGTACATCGTATCGCCTCTGGCAAGAGGGTGCGGTCCATCGGGCCAAAAACCTCACGCCATCCGAACAGCTTCTTCCCATCTGGCCTCATCAACAAGGCCTGGGACCCTCACTGACACGGACTCTGGACTTATTCTATAACTTGGATACCTTGTCAATTTCATATGGTTATGCACCTCGTCACCAAAAAACTACTTGTATAAATAAAGCTGTTTCTGATATTCCTCTGTTTTTAATGTCTCACCTGCGTTTTCGGGGATGAACGTGGTGCAGAGGCAGGCAGAGCCGGCCAGACACAGGAAACTCGCCATGCTTTTCCTCCTCCCGGCCCTGCACAACAACAGACACACAGATCACATCAGTGGAGGCTCAAACCAGGACACCTCACAACGCTATCTGCCTCGAGCTTTCAACATTT